CTAGAAAGTGCCTAGGTCTTTGTGTGACTGATTTCCCATTTCATCCCGATCTGCCTTTGCTGAGAGTTCCTGTTGCTTGCTAAAGGCAAAATCAGTGTAGTTGGGTACATTTGGCTTAGTTCCTGCCTGGAAAGTGCAAGGATGTAAGTTTGATTCCCAATACCAAAAAAAAAAAAAAAAAAAAAAAATCAGTGTAGTTTAAAATTCATGGGATTCTCTTTTTAACCTCTTTTTTTTTTGCTGTTTTGTTTTTTCATCCTGGGGATTGAACTCACAATCTCACGCTTTGCCAGGCAGGTGCTGTGCCACTGAGCTAAGTCCCTGGCCCCACTGTTTTGGTTGTTGAGACAGAATCTCACTACACATTTCAGGCTGGTCTTGAACTCACTTATGTAGTCCAGGTTGGCCTCAAACTCATTGTGACCCTCCTGACTCAGCCTTCTGAGTGCTGGGAGTACAGGTGTGTGCTACCATGCCCGGCTGAAATCAATCTCTTGACATAACAAACTTCTCACAGAAACATAACATTTCACAAAGGCAGAAAAATGTCGATATTAGTAAATTACTGTTTTTTAGAAATACGAAATCCTGTCTCTTACACACTGGTTGAGGTACAGTGCTCCTGTGTACACAGGGAAAGTGCAGTTAGCAGTGTCCTCCTCCTGTGCCTAGTCACAGCAGGGAAATGGTTTGGGCCCCGTCTCAGTGGGACAGCTTCTACTTGCCTAGCATGTATGTAGGAAGCCCTTGTTTTGATCTCTAGCCGTGCGCGCACGCGCGCGCGCGCGCACACACACACACACACACACACACACACACACACACACGGCAGAAGCAATGCTGATTGATTTTTGGAAACTGCTCTTCTGCACTTTATATATAGAGTCACCTCCCACTTTTATTAATATTTCTACCAAACAATAACAAAAAATGGATTGAATGTAATAATAACTAGGAGTAAAATCCCTTCTCTTAAAATAAATAATAATTAGTTTTCCATTCTTATGCACTGAAGAAAAGCATGATTTCCGTAGGGTAACACAGGATGAATTACAATCTGGGCCACACACCTGTAATTCTGGCCCTCTGAGCAGTTCAAGCCCCACCTGGACAACTTAGGAACATAGTGAGTGTGTCCTTCATTCTAATGATAATGATAATAATGATAGTGATGAAAGGACTGGGGACCTAGCTCAGTGCAAGGGTCTTCAGTTCAACCTCTAATGCCCCCCCCAAATTACAAAAGGAAACAGAAACACACCACTGTGAAACTGAAACTGTATATGAAAATCATATTTATATATATAATTACACACATATATGTGTAATTGCATTGTTGCCCTTCTGATCGAGATAAAAGCCCATGTTAAAAGTCTTGGCTAGAGGGGCTGGGGATTTAGCTCAGTGGCATAAGCAGCTGCCTTGCAAGCAGGAGGTCGCGAGTTCAATCCCTGGTACCAATACAAAAATAAAGAAGTCTGGGCTAAACACCTGTAGCACAGGGGTCTGTTTTCTTTCTGCCATCACCAGGTCAAATGTCCTGTGTCCTGCATCACCACAGCGTCAGGCCCGAGGGCTTTCTCCTTCTGTCCCCCTCTCCTATTTGCGCGGTCGCTGCTTCTCACCCTTCGGAACACTCTCACCTCAGCCCCTCCTCCGAGGCGGCACCCTTGTCCATGCCACGCTGGACTCCATGTCTCCTCTACTCTTTCTCCTACAGGTTACATTTTCTAAATTCCCACTGACCGAAACCTCAGAGAAAGTGAGAGCCGTGTGTTGTTCCCCCAGGAGCCCCACAAGGGCAAGCGGATGCTCACTCTCTCTGACGTCCAAAACAACGCTATTTCAAGCTCCTCCGGGAGTACGAAGAGGACTTCAGTCAGCAGATGCCCTTCCAGACAGTGAGCCCCGTGGGAACGTCCCCTGCCCAGCCAGCTTCCTCACAAACCAGGCTTCTGTTTAGGTCAGGCGACCTGGGTTGCTCCTCCTCGCCCGCACTGCACCTGCTCTTGGCTGTGTATATTCCCTGGGCTCAGAAAGCAGTGTCCTTTCATGAACCATTTCCAACTCAGTTTTATCATTCTTTATTATGCATATTTCCTTGTATTTTACCATCTGAGGAAAATATGCAACTTATAGTTAAGAATACGTCAGGTTGAACATTGCCATGGGTTTTACATATATGAACATGGTTTCAAACCTTCTGTGGCCTTTTCTGATAACATCACCAGCATGAAGCTTTGCAGAACTGGTGTCAGTGTCTTGGTGAGAAGTCTTTGGACTTCATTCTGAAATGGTACAACTTCATCTCCAGGAAGGGCACAGAGGATGATATGCCTTGGAATGTCACAGATCTCTAGGGCTCTGAGAGGAAATCTGATACTGAAGAGTTAGACACAGACTGTAAACATAATTATGGGAACCTAAAGTAATTAATTTCCTTTACATTTTCAGTTTTATGTTATGAACCATAAAAATAGGAGTGACACCTGTCTAATTGGCAAAGAACCACTCAGTAATTATAAGCTAAGGACTATTAGCGTTCTATCCAACGCAGCTGGGCATTTTTCTTTCATGAAGGTGCATCTCAAAGGAATGTGTCCATTCATTAGCTCACATGAGCTATCCCCAAACCATCTGTACTCCAAAGGCTGCAAATTCTTTCTATTTATTTATTCTTTGAGGACTGGGGATATAGTTCAGTGGCACAGCACCTTGCCTGGCAATCAAGAGGCTGTCAGTTTGATTCCTGGCACCAAGAATAAAACTTTTTAAAAATTGTTCATGTTTTGGAAAGGATTTGATTGTCTAGTTCAGGCTGGCCTTGAAATTACTATGTACCCCAGGCTGGCCTTGAACTCATGACAATCTCCTGCCTGAGTCTCTGGAGTGCTAGACTTACAGGCATGTGCTCTGACTGACTGGCTGCAAATTCTAACTTGACATTTCTATCTGTATTTCAAATGTGTGTTTTTCACTGTTTTGGTTTATTTGGTTTACCAGGATTATTGTCCAACTGCAATTTACCAATCAAAACCTTAAAATCCACAATACAAAAATTGTTCAATAAAAGGTTGCAAAAGTAGTAAATAAACAAATTGTAAAAAATGACATTATTTTACAATATGGAGAGCTTTTGCCTGAAATATGAATACATACCTTGGTTTGGACTACCAAGGGAAGGTATTCAGTACTTCAGGTAAAAGCTCTCCATGCTGTAAAAACTTGGTTTCCTACAATTTTCAGCAAACTCTTACTGAAGATTTCTGAATTCTAGGTTTGAAACTGCTGATTGGTAGTTTTTCATCCTTCTATCCCACTTCAGGTAACAATCGTGGGTCTGGAGATAACGCTTAATAATAGAGAACTTGTCTACCATGTAAAAAGCCATAAATTTCATCCCTAACATCTCAAACAAATAGAAAGAACATATTCTTGTCCAGAAACTTATTGATCAAAATGAGCATAAGCCTTCTAGTGACAGTTCTGAGTTTGATCCAACACCTTAACTCTGTCCACCTTACAAAAATGGTTCCATTGTTGAATTATGTAGAAGACCTACATCTGATGTCAAAATTGTTCCACTCTCTGCCGTAGCAAATGGTGATGAAGTTGGCATCAAAGGAAGACTTCCTGCCCTCTGTGCTAGCATTTGCTCAGTGTCCACTGTTTTCCCAGACATCTGTGCCTCATTGTTTGAAGGCTGCTTTCCTCTCTTTTGCTGCCTACAGTCCCTCAGAGAAGATGTGCTGAGTGTTTCTGTGCTGTGGGCTTGGTGCCCAAGGCGGTGGTATTTAAAAGGAGGGCTCTAATGTGCAGCATTTAGTTTTGGAGGACTGCGCAAGTTGAGGCCAGCCTGGGCTACATAATGAGTTCAGAGGCAGCCTGAACTGCACAGAGAGACCTTGTCTCAAAAAAGAAAAACAAAACTAAAAAAACACCAACAAGGAGCCTTGGAAATAAGCTTTCAAAAGATGCTCTTTCACCTCATAGTACCGCAGAGACATCAGGCACAAAGCTATGGGCCCATCCTGCAAACTTCTGGGTACTTCTCGGGACTCTGCTCAGACCTACAGCTATTCTTACAATTGGATGGGCCTCATTAGCCCTTTGGTCTTCCCAAAGGTGCGGAGCTTGGACGTTAAAGACATGTCTTCACTCACATCACATTTGCTAGTGGCAGCACTGATGCTGTTGCCAATACCTGCATTTGTTCATGGTTCTGGGGAATAAGCCCAGGGCCTCACACATGCTAGGCAACTACTCAGCACTGATAGCTAAGCTATGCCGTAAACATCTTTTCCAGGAAAAGCTTATGCTTCATTTCTTTTTCTGAGAAAATTTCAGCCTCACAGTTTATGAGATGTCATGCTCTACCCTCACACTCTGCAAAGGAATGTTTTTGACCCTGACTTAATGCTAGTCTAGACGTAATGGTTAGAATACACAGACAAATGCTCCTAGGAACAGCTAAGTCAGTGCCAGAGTGCAACCAAGTGTCTCCCCATAGCATGCATTGTAGCAGGCCAGAGTGGCCCACAGAAAAAAGCAGGAGGTCTTGCAAAGGAAGAACATTTAAATTCCCATAACACTGCCACATGCTTTGCAATGACAGTGACAATGCTCTAAGGTGAATCTCTAATTGTGTTACTGCCTTTCTCAGTCCTGGTTTTTGGAGTATGATTCCAAGAAAGAGATATAGCCATATTAATCTCACTTTGTTCATAGCTAGCAGTAAAAAGAAATACATATTTGACATTTTTAATTTAAAATATAAGTGAATGTGAGAAATGTCTACAATAAATGCTAGCATTAATTGAGCATATTTTAGGTGTCCAAACCTGTTAAGTTCCTCTTAAGAGCCATGTCATGCATAGCTAATGTGTGCTACATCTCCGATCGAAAATCAGCTGGGTGCCTTACAAATAAAACTGTAAAGACTTACGCTAATCACACAATTTTACTGACAGAAATGAAAAGGGAACAAGAATGATCTATACCTGGATAGGTTTGATGGGTTTCCTAGGAGACTGCCACTCATGTGGAGATTCAGTAAGACTCTGTTTTCTTCCTCAGATCATCTGTTAGAGAAAAAAACAATAGTCGTTGGTACTCAGTAATGCACGATAGGAATACTTTATTCAGGACCATCATGGGAAGATCTAGGCACCATAGCAACAGGGCTTTAAGGAAGGAGAGAAACTGGGTCCAATCCAGGACATGGTCAGGGCAGGCAGGGATTTAAGGTGGGTTAGTCGGTAAAAATTACTAAACACAATAGTAACAGTAAAGGAGATTCTGGCGGAGCTGGCATAACAGATTCTTGGAGAAGGTGGTCCAGAGTGATCAAATACTGCACCGGAGATGGTGCTGGCTGAGGAACGTGATCATAGATGGAGGATGGGGAAGAAATCCTTGCAAAACTTACTCTTTATAAAACTGTCTTCCAGGGGCTGGGGATTTAGCTCAGTGGCATAAGCACCTGCCTTGCAAGCAGGCGGTTGTGCGTTCAATCCCTGGTACCGATAAAAATGAAAAAGACAAAAAAACAAAAAACAAAAAACTGTCTTCCAGGGAAATGCATAGATGAGCCTAGAAGGATCAGAATAACATTTAACCAAATAATGTTTGGTTAAACAGAGAATTCTGTCCCATTTTTCAGAATTGGATAAAAAGAAGAAAGTGTACACACTGAGGATGCAGAAACAGAAATTCTTCTGACTCTAAGGCTGAGTAAAGGAAAATATGCTTGAACTTGGAAGAAGACTCCTGAGCTCTTCAAGTTTGGAATTTGTCACGCATGTGAACAGCATGCTCCTGGCACCTGTATGCACTTGTATCGTGTGTCAGTTTATATGCTGGCACTTAAGGAATCACAAACCATGTGTGTGTAACATTCTAGAGTGAAACAGTCCACCAAATGCGGCCTCGGGTTCCTTGACAGGGCCTCCTCATCAGGCTTTGCTTTTCTCTGCTTTGCTAGGCCATCTACAACTTTAGGTGACCGGTACAAACATGCAGAGATGTGGGAAAGGATACAGTGAGAAAAACAAAGAGTAGTAAAATGGTTAAGTTATGCAAACGTCTAAAGTCAGTGGCCCGTATTTTGTAATAAAAAAGTCTCTAGATCTGTCTGGGTAAAGAGTAAAAAATAATTATGCCATTAGGTGGGCATGGTGGCACACACCTGTAATCCTAGCACTTGGGAGCTGAGGCAGGAGGACTGTCATGAATTTCAGCCCAGTCTAGACTGCATAGTGAGTTCAGGGCAGCCTGAACTACATAGGGAGACCCTGTCTCAAAAAAAAAAAAAAACCCCAGGGACCAATGCTCAGTGGCTTCAGAACCTCACACAGTGGCATGTTTACCAACACAGAGCTGAGGAATATTATCTGTATGCCTGAGAAGGAGGCTTAGCATCATCACTTTAGGACTTTATGCCTCTCTAATTTTGCATCCAACCCCTTCTTCATTTATAATACAATGTAAATATTTTATTATTAACTAAGCTGAAAAAATGTATCAAGAATATCTTATGGGGGCTGGGGATTTAGCTCAGTGGCATAAGCACCTGCCTTGCGAGCAGGCGGTCATGAGTTCGATCCCTGGTACCGATAAAAATGAAAAAAAAGAGACAAAAAAAGAGAATATCTTATATTCTTTAAAATAGTGTATTATAAGTAAGTATTACCATAATTTTATAGTTATACACAGGAACCACACATAGAAATGAAGCTTCATTTTACAGGACTGTCCTGTAGTGAATGATGGACTCTAATGATGACCCTCACTATGCTAAGTGTATTTCTAGGAGGAGTCCCAGGACAGTCTGGATGAAAAGATCTCTTTTGTTGGGACAAGAGGAACAGGCACAGAACCCTCTGCTGCCCCATTCATGATATGTGGGTGCAACCAGAATGGCCCTCAATGGCCTTCATTGACTCCATGAACCAAGGGTGGGCCTTCCAGGGTGGGCCTGGGGTGGGGTAGCTTGGGGATCTGAAGATGGCAAGCTAGCTGTGAGCCACAGAGTCCAGAGAGCCACAGAATCCAGCACACAGAGAGCTGACAGCAGCCAGCACCTGCAGGCTGGCTGACCCAGATGGTCCCAGAGCAGCCACTGCCCACTTGGCTTACCAGACAAGAATGGCAGAACCCTGGGTTTCCAGTCTGAGTTCTCAGTTTTCTTCTGGAAAAGTTCAGAAGCTGGGATTTCACACTGCTGTGAAAACAGACTGGATCATGTACTCAATGAAGTTTCTTCAGTAGTATTTGTGGCTGACATAGCAACTGTTTACTAAACTCTCAATAATACTGCATTTTAAATGTGGCATTACTGTTCAAACAACTGAAACACTGCCAACATCACTGTCATTGATGACGCTTCCAAATTTCCTAAGAATACAAATAAACTACATTGAAAAACAGAAACACTGAATTGATGAATGTAAGTAAACTATTTTCTCACATACTCATAAAGAAAATGAAAATTCATAAAGAAGTAGAACAGGCTGACGTTAGAGCTCCATTTTTTTTTGTCTTTTTGAGGCAGGGTCTCTTTCACTGCGCAGTTCAAGCTGGCCTTGAACTCTCAACAATACTCCTACGTCAGCCTCCTGAGGGCTGGGATTACAGCGTGCGCCATTACACCTGGCTGGGTCTCCTATTTTAGGAAAGGAGTAAGCAGAGTAGGTTTGTTGAGGCCTGTCATTGAAAATAGGTATACAGATTAGGTAAGATGTATGGAAGAGCTACGTGAAGACTCTGAACGTGACCAAGGAGTCTGGCAGAAGAGGTCTGTTGGCAAAGGCCAGGATGATTAATCACTGGTACCCAGGGGTACACATGAGGGAGGAGACAGCAGTGGGAAGAAGAGGGAGGAGGTGGCAAGGGTTACTTTATCATTTACAGTAACTCGTGCTCAGAGGAGGTCAAGGCAGTGTGCAGCATTGCTAAAGTACTGCTGAGTGAGAGCTGAGTTTGCCTTTTTTCTGAAAATTCACAAATTCTAGGTGCACACTGGTGCAGAGGGAGTGCTGAGGGGAGTCCTTCAGTTCATTAGAGGGTTGAAAAGGGGAATAAAGGGCGCAGAATTCCCTTCTCCCCTCCCCCTTCCTTTCCTCTGATTGTTTCTGCTCCAGCCCTCCCCGGTGGCAGTTAGTGAGCTCATCGGCACAAAATCTGAGAACAGGAGACTCTCACTGCTTGGAGGAGATGGAGGGTCAAGATAGTAGGGTCAGCCCTCATTTGAAAGAAAATTCATCCTGGTATGCAGGGCAACCCTCTGCTCATAAACTCTATGGATATTTACTTTTTTCTTTCTATCTTCTGATTACTCAGAGGACTGAAATTTTGGCCAGGGGGCTGAAAGGAGAGCCACAGGGATCCTGAAAACCCAAGATGATTTGAAAAGAGAAAGACTCTGAAAGGGACCCCTTGCAATTCCTTTAAAATCCTAAGGTTTACTCCCCTCTCTCCAGCTGCCAAGTCTGCATCCCATTTTAATTTGCACACCAAAGACTGAACTACTCTGGCTCCAGACTGATTACTGGGTGGGGGCCTTGAAGCTCAGAGAGTAAATCATTTTGGCTTTTGCACCACACTTTTCCTGAAAACTACTGGGTTTACCTGACACAAAACGACTCTAAATATAGGCTAAAATTAGTATTTTCCTTGATGTGAATGTTGTATTCTATATTTGTACACACTGAAAAAGATGCTTTGCTTAACCAAACTTTACTAAAAAGATGCTTTGCTTAACCAAACTTTAGTCAGGTTATTGGGTCTTCTTTTAAGTTCACTTCTGTAATGCTAAAATCCAGTTGCAAAGCCAGGTGTGGTGGTGTAAACCTGTAATCCCAGCATTTGGGAGGCTGAGGCAGGAGGACTGTTGAGAGTTCAAGACCAGCCTGGGCTACAAAGTAAGCTCAAGGCCAGTCTGAACTTCATAGTGAGACTCTGTCTCAAAAAGACAAAAAAATAAAAAATGAAAAATAAATCCAGTTGCAATAACAAACCTACTCAGTTTATCAAGAGCCCCACCTTGAAATTCCCCTCCTCCTAGGATCCCTTGATGTCCCCTCTCTCTCTTAGCCTTTGACATCTCCTCCCTCATGGGTGTCCCTGGATGCCGATGACTAATCACTCTAGCCTTTACTCAAGCCTTTTCTGCCAGAATCCCATTGTGTCAATTTAGCCAAAATCCCCTAGTGCAACTAAATATTGGTCATTCCCATCCACTGTTCCCCACTCTGCCCCTTGCTTAGAAATTCCTGCTTGCCCATGCCAAATCTTTCTACCTCACTGCAAAATCTCATTTCCTTTACCCCCTAAATATGCAATCTTAATGATTTTATATATCAGCCAAAAATAAATTTAAGGGCCAGGGATATGGCTCAGTGGTAAAGCAGCTGCCTGGCAAGCACAAGGTCCTGAGTTCCATTACTGGTACAAAAAAGTTAAATTAAAAACTAAATAAATATAGCTGAAAAAAATTTAAAGACATTACTAGAAGGACACATGACAATATTTTAAAAAATATATGTTCAATAAAAAGAAGCTATATAAAAATGCTTCAAATGACTCAGTATGGCTATGTTAGAGATATCTTAGGGTTATCCTGGGGAGTGGGAGTAGAAATGAGAATTATGGCCAGGAGATATAGCCCAGCAGCACAGTGCCTGCCTGGCAAGCACAAGGTTGTGAGTTCTATTCCTGGTACCGAAAGAAAAGAAAGGAGTATTTTCCTCTTCCATGTTATTTACTAAATAATAGTTGTCAGTTCATTGACTATAGTACTATATAAGATTTTCTGAGTAAAATAAAATTAAAATACAGTAATTTATGTAAAAACTCTCAATGTAATGGTCTCTAAACCTATGGTAATGGTGATGGTCCTGGCCTTGCTTTAACAAGAATCAATAAACAATTTATTCGTAACACACAAAGAAGCAAATGTAGTGATACATATTAATGCATTTATAAGTAAGAAGTTTAGGAGCCTGGCGCCTCAGTATGGGTGGTACACTCCAATTTTCAATTGCTGAAATCAGTGCTAGAAGGTGAACTTTCTTTTTCTTTC